GCGCTAATGGCTCCCACCTGTGCCTCCCGCCTGACTCTGGACTGGCACGCTACCAGCCAGGGTGGGAATGGAGACAAAGCCCCTATTAGGATCCGGCTGTTTCTCCACTGTGAGGTCACTCAGCCATTAAATTAGTTCCAGCCCAATTTCTGTCTTCTCAGGCTTGGCGGAGAGGAGAGGGAGCAGAGAGCAGCAAGCTCTGGTGCACTTTCGGAGGGGAAGAGATGGAAGAGAGGGAGGTTCGGGACTGGCTGGGGAGGCTGGGCTCCCCCCGAACTCTGAAGATCAGAATACTGCTTCCAAAATGACTGAGGCCATTCTCACTAATGTGATCCCTAGCACCCAAAGGAAATCATAAAATATTTGGAAACAGGGTCTCACTATGTAGTCCAGGTTGACCTTGAACACATGTAGCCTAGGCTGACTTTGCATTCACAGCATCCCTCCCACATCAACCTCCCTGGTGCTGGAATCACAGACTCATATATGAGTTCCTATACACGACATCCAACAGTGGCTTTTCAAGGCTCTCACGGGACTGTGTCTTTCCTTTCCGTTTGCCAGTGGAATCAACCGTCTCCCAAGCCCCCCTTCCTCACAAGACCACAAAACCATCCCTCTGAAGCACTGGTGAGCACTGAGAGACAGTGGGAGTGTGGTGGCTGCCCTGACACACCACTAGGGCAGCTTCCGATCCATGGTCTCACAGCTAGGAGGCACGCTGCCAAGTCTGGAGCCAGCTGGAAACACTGTCATGGTCCGGAGCGAGATGACGGCCAGCCCCGACCGCCAGCCCTAGAACAGCACACAACAGCAGTAACCATGCACCAACGGCTCGCGCTGCCTCTTCTGTGCCCTCCTCCAGACCAAGAGTGGCAGCACAACACACCTCTGGGGTCCTGAAACAGTAGTGTCAGCTTGTGCCCACAGTGCCCAGCTATCCCAGACAGTGCTGTGGGCAGACGTGCCCCAAAAAATGCAGGATTTAAGTAGTGGTGATTAAACGTTACATGGGAAAAGCAAAATTATTCAACACAAATGAAAACTAGCCAAGGCCTGCTGAGTCCACCCAGCACGCACACACAAGCACAGTTACTTTGTGCTCCTCTGGCTCCCCATGATGGCTTCACAAGTCATTCCAGTATCTGACAGAGACTTGGCATCAGTCGATCAAGAAAGACGCTATGACTCAAAGAAAAGACAATTCCAGAACTAACAATGACTCCTGACTTGGTCATCCCGTGGCCGGGGTGCTGCAGCCTCAGGCCGTCCTCCCGAGCAGGCCAACCCCTCATCTCACCAGTAAACACAACGCACAGGCTCCCTAAACGTCCTATCAGGGCCAGCACGTGGGGTGCCTGTGCAGGGACAGGTTCTCGTGCCCATCCACACCCAGCCTGCCCCTCACTTGCAGACGGCTCCCCAGCTCAGCTGCACGATGTGGCCGCCAGAGGTCCCCTGGGCAGGCGCAGCCCGGAGCCCACACCTCAGGACTCTACCCGGCATCGGAGCTAACCGAACACGGGAGCAGCGCAGAACAACACCACAAAGCTCTGGACTCCCACGGGGCCAGCAGCCAGACCACGGCTCCAGACTCCTCCCCCATACAGCAGAGTGGGGTAACACTCATGGCCAGCAAGATACGCCAGAGAAAACAACTGCGCCGAAGGAGAAAGGACGAGAGTGCCACGGAACGGGATGGCACGGCCACGTGTGGTGACTGGGGGAGGGTCCTCAGTAATCAGACGTTTACTGCTTGTCTTTGGAAGGGAGCCGTCACAGGGCTGTGACCTCCAGACACACCCTCTGTCACACCCAGGGACCACAGGAGAGCTTCCAGCGTCTCCTGCTGCAGATTGCGGTTGATGAGGCTTTGCAGTGAAACCCAAAAGAGTGCCCAAGCACGTGTCAGACGAGAAACCCGCAGCTCTCCCTAGATTTACAACAACAGAAGAAGGATGGCTTTAAAGACAGTAAGAAAGCAACAACAACAAAAGCTGATGTTTCCTACAGAGTCCTGGGCCGCAGAGATAGCTCTGCAGAGATAGCCCAGTCCTGGGCTGCTCCTCCAGAGGACCTGAGTTCAATTCCCAGCCCCACACGGTGGCTCCCAACCTTCTGGATCTGATGCCCTCTTCTGGCATGCATGAAGACAAAGCACTCATGTGTGGACATTCCTGGCAAAGTGCCATTAGGGCTCTTGGCCTGGGGCAGCCAAGGCTGTGGCTATGGAAGTAGTTGGGCAGAAAGTATGTCCCCTGCCTTTGGAGAGTCTGCCCATAGACAAACATCCACTGGCCGGCTCAGAGGTGGCGTAGAGGAACCTGATTGGTCGCCCAAAGCCATTCAACCTGCTGTCTGCAGCAGCTTGCCCTCGGCTTGACTTCACCGGCCCCACCCTGCTCACCCTGCCTGAACCCCCAGCCTCACCCTCAGGCTGGACCCTCGGGTGGGTCCACTCCTCGGGAGGAGGAGCAACACTCTTCATAAAATCCGTGACTAAAGAAACCTTAAAAGGAGAAGAACTGTCTCCACGTGTGGACACTGGGGCTACGACATATCCACAGCACAGGTCTTTCTTGGCCACTTTTCTGAACAGATGGAAACAGTGCCATGAAGGCTTCTCATCACCCCAGGTTTACCGCCCCAGCCTGGATGATGACCAGCCTTCACCTGGACCCCGCCTGGGGAAGTGGCTCCGCTGGTGAGGAATATGCCACACGAACAGAAGGACGTGAGTTTGGCTCTCCAACACCCTGAAGCCGGGTGCAGCACCGCATGCCTGTGAGGCAGTGGGGGGGGGGGGGGGGAGGACACATGGGTCCCTGAGGTTCGCTGACTAGCTCATCCAGTCAAACCTGAGGTCAATGACAGCCCCTACCTCAAAGACTAAGGTTAGGAGGGGCTGAGGAGGCCCTGACCTCTGGCCTATGCGCGCGCACACATGTAAATGAACACGTGAAGACTGCATTCGTTTCCTAGCTTTGTTTTCTTTCTGTGTGTAGGTCATGAGACTAGGCCATGAGGTAGGAACCTGGAGCCAAGTATGGACTTCTAGAGTCTTCGGGAATTGTGACCCAGCCTGCTTTCTCCATCCTGTCACCTAATGTGTTCTGCACCACCATGCAGTGCTATGTGACTGTCCAAGAGATGATGGATGGAACTGCTGGATCCAAGGACACACAGCAGGGAAGTATGTGGAAGGGAAGCGTCTGATCCGCTAGCTCCGCACCTCTCAGGTACCTGCGTGAGGTGCATGGCCGGATCTGTGGTGACTGGATGAGATGCCTCCCACAGGCTCAAGCCTTGAACACTTGGTTCCCAGTTGGTGGCTGTCTGGAAAGGCCCACGAACTGTGGCCTTGCTAGAAGAAGCCATCACTGCTGGCAGGCTGAGAGTTTCCTTCCATCCCAGTTACACTCCGCTTCTGGCTTTCCACCTGAGGTGTGCCAGCCACCAGGCCGGCCTGCTGCCATGCTTCCCCGTGATATCTCCTGTCCCTCTGGAACTGTGAGCCCAGATAAACCCTTCCTTCTGTAAAGCTGCCTTGGTCAGGGTGCGCTCCCTCAGCCACAGAGAAGTGTCCACACCACAGCCACTGGCTGCATTCCGGAAGCACAACCATCTGTGGCTTGCCTGCTGTCACCTGGTCCCTTTGTGGTTATTCCGGGACCTCTTAGCGTGCCCCTTCCTAGAGCAGTGACAGCCCTGGCCTTCTTTTCCAGAGGCTGCTTTTGCACCTTTCCCTGGGAGTGTGGGAGGTGCCCATGAAGACAGTGTCGAAGGGCAGCTGCCCGTCCAGTACCTGAGCTGCTGAGGAACCAACAACAGAGCCACTTCCCTGCCTGTGCTCAGCACAGACCGGACATGGAGAGAGAAAGCTGTCTCACTGCCCAAGGAGAGCAGAAATGCTTTTCTCCTGGGGGAAAATAAAGCTGAAAAAATAATTGCTTGTAGCAACACAAAGTAGCTTATTAAACAAAGCCCCTAGTTAACACAGCTCAGGTTATGGCCCATGAACCAGTGGCTGCTGCTCTACCTGTCCTCAGCCAAGCCCTTCACACTCCAGTCCGCACAGGGTGCCTGCCCCTTTGCCGACTGTGTGAGAGTCAGGGGCACAGCAGCTACTTCATTATTTTGTACCAACATACAACCAATTAATTGTATACCAGACAGTCCTAAAACAAAAGCACACTGAATTACACGTCTATCTAAAACCCATATGGGTAAACCCTAGAATGGTAAGCCAGTTCTTTATGGAACTTTTCAGTTTGGGTCCAACTAGGCACGCTGCTCTTCCTGGTCTCGATTCCACCCAACGTCTTAAACTAAAGTTGTATTAATTAGCACAAATAATTTGTGGCATTTAGAAAAAAAATCCCTTTCATCTACTTCCCATGTTTTAACTTCAAACAGAGGCCGTGGGATAGAAATAAAAATGAAAGCTTGCAGTGAGAGTAAACTCCAAACATGCAAATGAGATTGGAGCGACTGGCTAGGGACGGGCAGAGCACCTTCCAAAACACAGATTCCACCTTATTTCTTTTTAGCCCAGTTACGCGCCCCTCTGATTTACTCTTGCAGCAGAGCACCCCAGATTAAGTGTTTAGCACTGATTACCACAACACAAGGAAGAACGGTCACCCGACCACTGACACCTGTTACACTATTTCTTTATAACGTCCTTCAAGGGCGTTTTGAAGAGGGTGATTAAAGGAAGCGTAACACCAGCCACTAAAGCCGAGTGGGAAATACGGACCCTGACCAAGCGCTCCTTTTAATTCCTCCTTTATGGCTCAGTCGGCTGGACACACTCTCACACACTTAAACACACACACACACACACACACACACACACACACACTACAGAGGATGGGGCCAGTCATATCTTGAGCACAGTCATATCTCGGCACATCTGTCTCCTCCCCTGGCACGGGGTACAGAGAACAGACAACAGGCGTGGACACGCTGGCCGGGCTGAGCACCCGGCTGGAACTCACCCACCCAGGAGACTCATGGTCGTGGGCGTCACTTCCGCAAACAGAACTACTTTTCCGAGCCGTGTGGTCCGCAGATTTCGGCGATAGGTCTCCAGGTTGAAATGCTCTGACGAGAAGCCTTCGGGGTTGGTCAGCACAGGTATGGAAGACGGGGTGATTTCCATGTCAGATGTGTAAGAGGACACAAATCGAAGGGACAGTTTGCTGGATTTTATGATTCCTTCAGGATCCACGTGCTGCCCAAGCCACTGCATGACGGGATCCTGGATTTCCTATGCCATCAAAAGGGGGAAAGGATTATGATCTGAGGTTTAGTCCCCAATTGCAGCTGTTTCCTAAAGATGCTACCTGTTAACATTCATAAACAGACGAGCCAGATTAACGCATTTTGCACATCTAAACCGACACGATGTAACAAACAGACTGAGCGCTATGATTTGAATTCTGTCTCCCAGAACTCATAGACACCTAACCCGTAGACACCTAACCCACAAATCCATGCATTAGTGGTATTTTGCGATGAGACTTTTGAGACACTGAGTCGAAGGGGCTCTGCTCTCTCAAATGGGTTAAGCCATTCGTGGATTACCAGGTCACTGAGTGAGTGAGTTATCACAGACGTAGTGAGGCTGCAAGAAACGCCAAGGCCTTTCGTGACCCTCTTGCCATCTGGCATTCACAGCACTCCCTATCAACTCTGCAGAGTCCCTTTCCCCAGCAAAGACACCTTCACTCAGTGACACACACTGGCACACACACAGACTGGCACACACACACACTGGCAGTCACACTTGTACACACACACACACACTGGCACTCACACACACACACACACACACACACACACACACACTGGAAGTCACACTTGTACACACACACACAGACTGGCACACACACACATTGGCACTCACACACACACACTAGCAGTCACACTTGTACACACACACACACACAGACTGGCACACACACACATTGGCACTCTCACACACACACACTAGCAGTCACATTTATGCACACACACAGACTGGCACACACACACTGGCACTCACACACACACACACACACACTGGCAGTCACACTTGTACACACACACACAGACTGGCACACACACACACTGGCAGTCACACTTGTACACACACACACAGACTGGCACACACACACACTGGCACACACACACTGGCAGTCACACTTGTACACACACACACACACACACAGACTGGCACACACACACACTGGCACTCACACACACACACTGGCAGTCACACTTGTACACACACACACACACACACACACACACTGGCAGTCACACCCGTGTGCACACACACAGATACTCACCTCTAATTTCGCAGCCTCTGAACTGGGAGGTATTGATTTCTTTCATAAATTACCCAGTCCTAGTTCTCAGTGATGGTAACAACAGTTTAAGAATTATAAACAAGGACACAAGGACAGGCCATCGTTTAGTTTCCAACCAGTCATAACCTGGCACATCTCAGACGTCCTCTCCCGCTCTGCAGTCCCTATTTATCTAGTACTGTGTGCTTTCTACATAGCAGCAGGAAAAAATCAGCCTTACATCTTTATGCTTTTGCCTCATGTGGGAGTTTATTATCGTACCGGAAACAAACCCCCACCGAAGTGTCAGGGCTCAGAGTGCCCTCACACAAGTGCCTGGTCCTGAAGGACGCAGTGCCCGAGTGGAAAGGTGGGAAATGACACCGGCAAAGGGAAGCCAACCTCTCCACAGAAAGGCACCCAGGCTGCCTTCTATGTCCTAACTGTGAAAGCAGAAGAGACACTGTTATCCCAGACCTGAGAGACAGAGCTTCCTTCAGAAGAGGCCACACAGAACAGATCCGGGTACTTTATGATTGTTTATGTGTATAAGCTTGTCCGCATGTGTATCTGTGCACCACGTGTTTTCAGTGCCCAGGGAGGCTGGAAGAGGGCATTGGATCCCCTGGAACTGTAGCTGTGAACCACTGTGTGGGTGCTGAGAACCAGAACCAGGTCCTCTGCCAGAACGGCGAGTCCTCAGGCACAGAGTCATCTCTCCAGCCCCAGAGCCACAGTTCTGGGACGTCCTCGTGCAAGTGGCAGAACTTTCAAAGTAAAGGAAAATGAAGGATCTCTGTTCTCCATTAACAGTGGGAGAACGCCGTCTCCTAGGAGTCACAAGCCGAGCAGGCAGAGTGTTACACAGAGAAGATGGCTGCAGGAAGAAATAAACAAGAGAAAGAGCCTGTTGGAGGCTGGCCACCGGAAGTCAAAGGCAAGAGGTAGGAAGGAGATCCACAGAACAGGAAACATTAGGAAAGACGTGGGAAGGAGGGGGGACCGAGGGAGGGACGGAGGGAGGAAAGCTTTACAGTGGGATCTGTTCAGTCAGGCTCAGCTGTCTATTCGGTGTCAGAGTTCTTCGATGCTCCCACAATTAAGAAAGACATCAACATGCTTCCCAGAACACACTCCCCTCAGTAGGCAAAGCTTGGCTGCAATGATGTCACTTATATAGGAGGGAGTCCAGAAGAGCAGATGCTCCAAGGAGGGAAACATGGAGCCAGCAGGGAGGAGAAAGGGCCTGGAAGAACACAGGCTGAGGGGGTGAGGGACAGAGAGACGGGTGAGGGGCCCCCAGAGCAGCAGGGAGCCCCTAAGAGCTGTTAGGACGAGGACGAGCCAGGAGAGGGTGCTGCCCTGTCCTCTGAACTGAGCTGACTTGGGAAGGAAACCAATGGAGACAGAAGTGCGGTCACACGCCTGAAACCACATGACAGCCCATATGGTGGGAACACACGCTCAGTGGGGGCTACATGATCTGCTCACTGGTCATATTTGGGATGTTCTCACAACATGGAGATCAGGATCAACAAGGTGGCTTGGTGGGAAAAGACTTGCTTCCCAGACAAGTCTGACAACCTGAGAGTGACTAAGTGCTGGAATCCACACGAAGGCAGAAATAAACCTACTCCACAAAGTTGTTCTCTGACCTCCACACACATGCTGTGCCCACACCACCACCACCATATACACACACAGTAATAACGAATAAACCAAATGGGAAGTGGGAAGATTCCTGGTGTAGACCCTCTGAAGGACAGTTCTTACCCACAGACACGCAGACATCTGGTATGGGAGAGGAGCCTCGGGTCAGCATGGGTGTGCAAAACTCAGGTGACTACTGGAAACATAGCAAGGTCAAGTGAGCAGGGAGGGGCTCAGGGGAGAGGCTGACATGGATACAAATTTGGGACCATCACACAGATGACCGCTGAAAGCCAGAGGAAGAAGGAGGTAATGAAGAGGAGGAGGAAGAAGGAGATAATGAAGAGGAAGAAGAAGGAGGTAATAAAGAGGAGGAAGAAGGAGGTAATAAAGAGGAGGAAGAAAGAGGTAATGAAGAGGAGGAAGAAGGAGGTAATGAAGAGGACGAAGAAGGAGGTAATGAAGAGGAGGAAGAAGGAGGTAATGAAGAGAAGGAAGAAGGAGGAGGTAATGAAGAGGAGGAAGGGTTTAATGAAGAGGAGGAAGAAGGGGGTAATGAAGAGGAGGAAGAGGAGGGTAATGAAGGGGAGAAGGAAGAGGGTAATGAAGAGGGAGAAGAGGGTAATGAAGAAGAGGAAGGGGTGATGAAGAGGAAGGGGTAATGAAGAGGAGGAGGAAGGGGGTAATAAAGAGGAGGAGGAAGGGGTAATAAAGAGGAGGAAGGGGTGACGAAGAGGAGAAGGAAGGGGTAATGAAGAGGAGAGTGTGTTAACAGAAGAGGATATGAATGAGTGGGATTCACTCTCTGGGGTCTGCTAACAAGAACTGCACACCAAGGTGCTTTAAGTGAGAAAATGGGTCATTGCTGTGGAGGCCTCAGGTCAAATGAAGGTGTCAGCAGAAGCAGGCTCCCTTTGAAGGCTTGCTGTGTCTTGATGGTGGCCCCAACGACGTGTGGGGAACATGATCCTCAGTGAGATCATATTGAGAGGTGAGGCCTTCCGGTGAGTCAGTCGGGGCTTTGTGGGCTCTGCACAAACCTCCCCTCAACCATCAACCATCAACCCAGAACAGGAAGATGTGTGTTTGCAAGAAGTGTAAACACCTGTTTGGTGCAAACCTTACTCTCAAGAAAGGTTTGTTGTTGTTTTTTCCCCAGAAATTAACTTAAAATATATAGAGAAACACGAAATACTTAAAATGGTCAAAGGGATCTCAGGCAGTAAGGAGTCAGAAGACTGGACAAGCTGTTTCAAGGCTGCGGCAGTGCAGGCCGATCCCCACTGCAGACACGCGCGTGCGAAAGCATCTGTTTTACCAAGTACCAAAACACAATTCAATCAATAAATAGGGCAATGCCTTTCTGATCCCAAGATATGAAATTTCTCAGGTGGGACAAGACATACATGAGCTCTAAGAGGAAAATCTGTCACACTAGACTTGAAAAGGCGGCAACCAAGAGAGACTGTGCCAGAGCTCTCCAGGAATGAACATGAAGGGCTGAGGATGGGCTCGGGATAGAGTGTGGCCCTGCTTGATCCTCAGCAATGAAGGCAGGAAATGGAAGGAAGATGAGAATTTTAGCAAAAAAAGGGCAAACAAACCAGGGAAACCATTATCCACGCATTAGCAGACAAAGAGTTTTTATCTAGAATATATTTCTAAACTCTTAAAATTTGCAAGAAAATAACTTAAAACATGGACAAAAATTCTGAATGAACATTGTCCACAGAAAACAAGAGACAACCAATAAGCCTACGAAAAAATGCTTGACATCATTCTCTTCGAGGGGAAATGCAAATTAAGAACCACAATGAGACACACCTCACATCCACTCAAAGGCTGGAAGTTTAAACGCAGACACTGCCATGTGCTGGCAAAAATGTAAAGCAAACAGAACTGTCTGAGAATAAGAAAGGCCCAGCTGGTTTAGGAAAACATTTCAGCTGGTTGCGGTATAGTGCCCTGGCTGGCCCAGAATGCTCTGTGCAGACCAGGCTAGCCTTGAGCTTAGAGCAAGCTGCTCGCCTCTGCTTCCCGGGTATGTGGACTGAAGGCACGAGGCATTATGTCCAGCCCTAGCAGTTTCTTATAAAAGAATGCTTACCATACAGCTGAAATTCAGCTCTTAAACACTGACCTGAGGAAACACATGTCCACACTGTCCACACGGAGACCTTCACATGAGTGTCCATGACTGCTGCACTCAACAGCCGGAATGCCCAAGAATAGATGGATAAATGAATGACAATGATATATCAGAACACCGGAGCATGACTCAGCAATT